TTATGAATAAAGATATTAAGAGCAGTATGTGTGTGTATACCTATGCTGACATTTCTCTTGAGTGTATAACTAGGAGTAGAATTTCTGGGTCATAGGGTAGGTGTACGTTTAGATTGAAAAACTGGCAAACAATTTCCAAAAATGGTTGTATCCTCTTTTCCACCAGCAATGCATGAGTGTGAGAAAGAGATCTTTGACTACTTCTATTACTTCCATAATGACTTCTTGAAGTATTGACTTTTAAGTCTAATCAAACAAGAATCACAAAATCTGAAATGAAATCGCCTATCTGGAAATTCTCCTGAAAGGCAGGCGTTGAGCTGCTGAGGATCCATAGCATCATCTGACAGTTTCTACTTGCATTTTCCAGGACAGCAAAATGCTTATCAACCTTGGCACAGCTTTCAGTGAATTGAGCCACAAGGGGTCATTTTCTCTTTCTTTTTTTTTCTCTGCCTATAACTCAGACCTCAGGAGAAGAAGGGAGTGTTAGAAATGTGAAACTGTGTAAAGTTCATTCATAAGAAGCACTTACTATACAGGTGTGCCCAGCACCTTGCTGGACACAAAATGGGAAAGAGGAAAGATGTGGAAGATGCCATTCTTGTTCTCGAGTTGCTCACAACCTAGTGGATAGATATGAGGTGGCAACCCTCTGCCAACCATGTAAAGACCTGATACTGTTCTGGATTCTGTCCTTTGCTCTTTCTGTGCTCTACTCCATTGCTCTTCTCATCTCATCCAAGCCCAGGATTTCAACTACCCATCACACCTCCCTCCCAAATCACCATGCCCAGTCCGACCTCACCATGGGCTCCAGACCTATGTCTTCCAACTGCTTCCATCCTCAACTCCTCTTGAAGGCTCATACTTACATATGATTCATCAGTAAATTTTGTTAACTTTGCCTTTAGTCGGGGGGGGGGGGGCGCCTGGGTGGCTCAGTCGGTTAAGCATCTGCCTTCGGCTCAGGTCATGATCCCAGAGTCCTGGGATCGAGCCCCACATCGGGCTCCCTGCTCACTGGAGAGTCTGCTTCTCCCTCTCCCTCTGTCCCTCCCCCCATCTGTGTGCTCGCTCGCTCTCTCTCTCTCTCAAATAAATAAATAAAATCTTAAAAAAAAATAGAATACAGTGAGGATCAAACTATTTTTCACCACATGCTTCCCTGTGACCCTGGTTGAAGGCACTATCATCCCTGGTCTGCATTCCTGCCATAGCTCTACCAAACCAGTATAGCTCTCTTACTGCCAGTGCTTACTCTGTATTCATTTCCCTTTCTTTTGGTAGTAGATGCTTGAATTACCTTTGGTGAATGTAACCATCAGGGTTCCAGGAAAAGATTAATCAGAGGCGCAAGGAATGGAAGAGGTATGGTACCCTGTGGCTGCCAGTGGAGGGGAGCCATGACCACCTCTAGGCGAAGAGAAGAAAGACCTTAGCAAAACTAGAGGAGAGATCTGTAGGACACTTGACAGAAGCTTCAGTAGATGTATGCAGCCAACCTGCAGGAACCTGAGAGGGAAGGGGCCTGTAGAGTAATACCCTCATTTCATCTTCCTCCAAACCCTCTGATCTCCTACTAACGTCTTCTATTGGAAAAATTCAACTGGAAGCCAGAGGAGATGGGACCCGCTGAAGCCATCTATGCAGGTCGGCCTCCTGAGATACAAATCAGGAAGGAAAAGGGCAGAGAGTGCATCACCTAAAGGGACCAACAGAAAATACCCTCACACAGGAAGCCACCTCTCCTCAATCCTCAGCCTGTGAGATTTGAGAGCTACGGACCTCACTGCACCACAGCTCCAAAGGTGAGAGCATGCGCCCCCAGGCCTGGGCAGTCAGAATATCCCAGGCCCCTTCTCAAGGGGATGGTTTGGTTTATTGATGCACCAGTAACCCAAATCCGAACAAGAGGCAGTGCCAGGACTTCTGTTGACAGCCACGAGGAAAATAAACTCTCTTTCTGTTGGTAAGGACGTGATGTGAAGTTGTAAGCAGCCATTCTGCCATCTCATGGAGAAAGGCAGCCTGAGAGTGAAAAATCAACACAAAGGAAAACAGGAAGTGGTGAATAAAGACTGAATCCGGGGGTACCTGGTGGGCTCAGTCAGTGGAGCAGGCGACTCTTGATCTTGCGGTTGTGAGTTCGAGCCTCATGTTGGATGTAGAGATGACTTAAAAATAAAATCTAAAAAAAAAAAAAAAGACTAAGTTCTGATGTCATAGTTTTAAGCCCCCAGATCTAGTCTGCCTGGAGCCCATATCTTTTCTGTTACATGAAGCAATGAATTCCATTTGCTGCGTAGCCCAGCTGGGTTTACTACATGCAAAAAAAAAAAACCCCTCTTGAATAATACTTAATACCGATCCCCAAAGACCAACACAAAGGTATACTTATATGTCACTAAATATGCTGTTGTTACTATGAAATGCCCTTGCCCATATTCTCCACCTAGAAAACTCCTACTCAAGTACTGTCTTATCTGCATGTCTTTCCATTTTCCCAGTAGAATTGCTTACTTCTTCCTCTGTTTTGTCAGCACTTTGCAAATGCTCTATTAGTGCATGTATAAAACTGTCTCACAGTTACTTGTTTGCTCATCTGTCTCCTCTATCTGTGAGCTCCTGATAGGGTAGATCTGTGTGGACATTACCCTTAACAGCCCAGGGCCCAGCCTAATACCTTAAGGAGAACTCTGGGTTAAACAAGGCAACACGGTCTTTTTACATAAGGGCCTCTCAGAACCATTTCTGTGTTGACAAGCATCATGGATCCTCAAGCAGTGCTACAGAATGCAGCAGTTCCCAGACTCATTTGACCTAAAAACTCAATTTTTTGCCCAGGTTGCTGGGTTAGAGTCCCCTAGAGAAGAAAAAATTCTTGCAGTTTCTTTGGGTGTCTTTGATGAAAGAAGTGGCTCTCAATAAATATTCGTGAAATGGATAAAAGGGAAGATCTTGGTTAGGTCAAGGCCCGGAGCAGGGTTGGAAACAGCAGAAACAACAGAAGCAATGAGCAGTAAGCAGGAAGGGTGATCTCTCTGATGGCAGAGGGTCAGTCGTTAGGGTGATTGGGACCATAATCCAACCCTGTCTCCTTAGAGTAAATCTAACAGCCATTATTTGTATTCCAGACACTTTAATCCTTCTTCCCGCCCCATGCTCAGGATGCTGAGTGCCTGACAACACTGCCTCCTGGATTTTGACCTTCAATTTGCTTTACCTTACCTCTGAGGGGGCTAGGGGTGGGTGATCAGAACTAATTTTCTTCCAATTGCACACCCTTAAGACAAATTCCTTTCCTGTTTTCTGCCTGTTTCCCTCTCCGGGAGCTAAGGGAAGAGCCACAGGCTAACTTCCAAGCTTGGCTCAGTTGCCTTGTAAAAAGAAAACATAATAATAATAGCCAAAGAGCCCCAGGCCTACCATTGTAACTTTGGACAATTCATTGACTAGCTTAGATGCTTGCTCTGTTTGTAAAAGGAACATTAAATTACGTCCCACCGTCTCCCGGGGCTTCTGAGAGCAGCAAACAAGACTGTGCGTGAGAAGTATTTTGTAAATGGAAAATAAAGCACTAAAAATGTAAATATTATTAACATCGTACATAATGTTAATATGTACGGGGTAGGGGGCGCCTGGGTGGCTCAGATGGTTAAGCGTCTGCCTTCGGCTCAGGTCATGCTCCCAGAGTCCTGGGATCGAGTCCCGCATCGGGCTCCCTGCTCCCTGGGAGCCTGCTTCTCCCTCTGCCTCTCTCTCGCTCTCTCTCTGTGTCTCTCATGAATAAATAAATAAAATCTTTAAAAAAAAAAATATGTACGGGGTAGGAAGAAGAGCGAGGGGAAAGAGGCGGGTGGGGGG